ATATGCAGAAATGCAAAAAAAAAAAAAATAGATTATATCAATATTTATAGTAAATTGTTTTTTCTTCAAAATTTAAACTACAAAATACTAATATATATCAGTCTTGGACTCTGTATCTGATTCTTGAGGTGAGACCAGTTCAGTGCCCACTCCTTTTTTCTGGGTTGCTCTTCTATAGTCTTAAAAATAAGCAGAAATCTATCAAGCTCTACAGAAAACTAAGTAGGATATGAAACTATAGATCTGACCCAGTTTTTTTTTTACAGTGTCTCTTAGATGAAAGCTTTTCGATCTTTAAGTAAAGGAGGTGTGCAGTTTGGATAAATACCGAGTTTCATGGTGTGGAACAAGAATTAATTGGAAATTTTCTTTAAAAAACACGTTATAGAATGAGTGGGGTGCATAAATTACCAATACAGAGGTATGGGGTAGGTGTCGAACTGGGATACTTCGTTTAGTCGCCGGAAGTCATTGCAAAATCTTGTGGTGCCATCAGGTTTGGGCATCAGCACGATTGGGCTGGACCACTGACTGTGGGATTCTTCGATGATCCCCAACTCCAGCATTTTTTTTACTTCTGCTTTTATTTCCTCCCTTTTTGCCGCTGGCACCCGATAGGGCCTCATTGTTACTCTGGCCCCAGGGTTCGTGACGATGTGGTGATATGTCTCGGTTGTTCGACCCGGTTTTGTCGAGAACACATCTTGGTTCCGGAAGATCATCTCAGACACCTCATTCTTCTGGTCTGGTGTTAAATCGGGAGATACTCTCATCTGTTTGGAAGGCTTGTTTTCCTGGGTTAGGTCTTTTTGGACCGTTGTGCATGCCTCTTGTGCATGCCAGGGTTTCAGAAGGTTAACGTGAGAAATCTGTTCTTGTTTTCTGCGTCCTGGCTGCCGCACCTTGTAGGTTACTTCCCCCATGGGTTCAACCACCTCATAGGGCCCCTGTCATTGGGCCAGAAGCTTGCTTTCTGCCGTGGGTACCAACACCATAACCCGATCCCCTGGTTGGAACTGTCGCACTTTTCCCTGGCGATTGTAATGGGTTTGTTGGGCCTCCTGTGCCTTCTCCAAATGTTCCCGTACAATAGGGGTAACCCGGGCTATCCGGTCTCGCATCTGCATTACATGCTCTATTATATTTCTCCCCTCATTGGGTTCCTCTTCCCAGATCTCTTTGGCGATATCTAGTATACCACGGGGATGACGCCCGTATAATAACTCGAAGGGGGAAAACCCAGTTGAGGCCTGTGGTACCTCCTGGATAGCGTAAGGTAGGGTAGTAGGGTGTCGCAATCCTTCCCGTCCCGACTTACCACCTTCCTTATCATAGCCTTGAGGGTTCGGTTAAACCTTTCTACCAACCCATCAGTCTGCAGATGGTAGACCGAAGTTCTCAAGGTATGTATATGGAGCAGCGTACAGAGGTCCTTCATTAGCTTCGACATAAATGGGGTTCCTTAGTTGGTTAATATCTCCTTCGGTAGCCCCATTCGGGCAAAGATCCCCACCAGCTCTTTGGCTATAGTTTTAGAGGCCGTGTTCCGCAGGGGGACGGCTTCTGGGTAGCGAGTAGCATAGTCCAAAACAACAAGTATATATTGGTGGCCCCGAGCCGTCTTCTTCAGGGGTCCATGGCTATTCGCTCGAAGGGGACCTCTATGATGGGAAGGGGTACTAAAAGTGCCCTCAAGTGGGGACGGGGACTGTGCAGCTGACACTCCGGGCAGGAGGCACAGTACCTCCGCACTTCTTCATGTACTCCGGGCCAGAAGAACCATCGTAGGACTCGTGCCAGGGTCTTCTCTACCCCCAAAAGTCCCCAGAAAGATGACTATGAGCAAGACTTAATACAACGTTATGGTGTTTTTGAGGTACTAGGATCTGCTGTACCTTCTGCCCCTGTACTTGTGCAACCCAGTATAAGAGATCCTTCTTCATTATGAAGTAGGGTCCTGGTCCCTGGGTTTTTCCTTCCACGGGGACCCCATCTATTTCAGTCACCTCCTTCCTAATGTTGTCATACCTTGGGTCTTCTGCCTGGTCTCATCCAAAATTTCCTCTCCTGGGGCTAATCTGCCCAAGATCTAGGGGCCCAGTCTCTGTTGCCTGTACTGGTTCAGAAGCATTAGGGTGGGGGTCAGACTCAGGTGCCTCTCCCTCCTGCGTGGCCTCCTTTTCAGCTGCGCGGGTCCGCCTACCTACCTGAGCGACCCTCTGGCTTTGGGTCAGTATTCGGGTTCCCAAGGCCTTAGCTGCCCTTCTTTCCCTTTTTGTCTTTCTACCCTGTCGGGGAGTGGAGAACAAATCTGGGGATATTTCAGAGAAGATTGGGGGTTGACAGTCTGCTGTGGATGCCTCAACAATTTTAGGGTCCCCATCTTTCTCTAATCCCCCTACTGAGAGTAAGTTTCCAAACCCTGGGAAGTCCCTCCCTATGAGCACCGGGTATGGGAGTTTAGGGACTACCCCTGCTGCTACCTCAGTAGTGTTCCCTTGGATCTCGATTTTTACTGGGATGGTGGGGTAGTAACTAACTGTCCCATGGACACATGTTATCCCTCTACGTTTAGCCTGCAGCAGCTGACTACGCTTCATGAGCTTCCCTGAGATAAGCATGATAGCACTCCCCGAATCAACCAGTGCCGTGGTCCCTACCCCATTTAGTTTCACTGGTCTGGTATACATATGTGGGGTTAGTGAGACCCCCACAAGGTGGATTAGAGAGCATGGATCTGTCCAGTTACCCAGGTTACACTGCATAGGCTCCTCAGCATTGGGACACTGTGCAGCTATGTGTCCCCACTCCCCGCAGGCATAACATCTGTATGGAGCCCTAGGCGTTCCCCGGTCTCTTGGTTTGGGCAGTCTAACATCACGATCCTCTTCTCCCTTAGTGCTCCGACTCTTTGTGGCCTCTGATGGGCCTTCAGCCTCTCTCTTTTTCCACCTGGGCCCCCCTGGTGGCCCAGTCACCTGAACTTTAGAGCTTGGTGCTGCTAGTTTAACCCGGGGTGCCTCTTCCTTAACTGGTCGGGTCAGCTCCCTCGCTGTCCTTCGCCTCTCTACCAGGGCGACAACCTTGTCATAGGTGGAGGGTTCGTTCTGGCTTACCTAGGCACGAAGGTCTGGTGGTAGTCCCCTCATGTATCGGTCGATGACCAGAACCACTAATATCTCTTCTGGACTCTGGGACTCTGTTTGCAACCACTTTCGTGCGAGATGGATGAGGTCATACAATTGGGACCGCGGGGTTTTGTCTTCCTGGTACCTCCAGCCATGATACTGCTGGGCCCGCACTGCTGTCGTTATGCCAGATCTGGCCAGGATCTCTGCTTTCAGCTGGGGGTAGTCTGCCGCAGCCTCTTCAGGCAGATCATGGTAGGCCTTCTGGGCCTCCGCACACAGGAATGGGGGCAAGGATGCCAGACCACTGATCTCGAGGCCAGGCCTCCCGTAGGGCTGTCCTCTCAAAGGTCAGAAGGTATGCCTCTACATCATCCTCCCGTGTCATTTTCTGCAGCCAATGGCTGGCCCGTATGAGCCGCATCCCATCATGGCCGCGATTCAGCTCTGTAAGGGACTTTACCTGGTTTACCAGTTCCCGCAACATAGCTTGGTCTTGAGCAGCCTGGTCCATCAGCAGGCGATTAGTCTCTTGCTGCAGCCGCCCTGCCTCCTGTTGGGTGGCTGCCTGGACACGGGTAGCCTCCTGCTGGGCCGCCGTAGCTTGTATCAGTGCCCGCACTACGTCATCCATTGTGGTGAAAAAAAATAAACCCTCTCCCTTTTATTTTGTTTGTTTTTTTGTTTGTTTTTGTTTTTTTTTAAATCACCCTCCTTCCTCCGCGCTGTGCACCTTAAGATCCCACCTTTGACACCAGTGTGACAAAGTTCCTCCTCTATCTTGGTGGGTCCTGCGCTTATTGGCGGATTTTCTTGCCTCAGAGATTCACCATGTGGGTTGGGGAACAGCCCAGAGACCTTCCCCTCTGGAATAACCCACAGTCCAGGTCAATTGGGAGGTTTGGGGGGAACCCGGGCCCGTCCTCTACTCCGGGTTCCAGCCCAGGGCCTTGTGGACTGCAGCTGTCTATAGTGCCTCTTGTAACAGCTGCATGACCGCTACAACTCCCTGGGCTACTTCCCCATGGCCTCCTCCAAACACCTTCCTTATTCTCACCACAGGACCTTCCTCCTGGTGTCTGATAACGCTTGTGCTCCTCAGTCCTCCAGCAGCACACCCTCTCACTCTCAGCTCCTTGTGCCTCTTGCTCCCAGCTCCTCACACTCCCACCACAAACTGAAGTGAGCTCCATTTTAAAACCCAGGTGCCCTGATTAGCCTGCCTTAATTGATTCTAGAAGCTTCTTAATTGGCTCCAGGTGTCCTAATTAGCCTGCCTGCCTTAACTGGTTCTAACAGGTTCCTGATTACTCTAGTGCAGCCCCTGCTCTGGTCACTCAGGGAACAGAAAACTACTCATCCAGTGACCAGTATATTTGCCCTCTACCAGACTCCTGTACCCCAGTGGTCTGGGTCTGTCACAGTGCCTTAAAAGTGACTTCACGGTTTGTTACAAAATATTAAACAATGGATACATTTAAGAAAAAACAGTATTCAGAAAATCTGGAGATGTAGTGGAGCGCAAGTGAATTATTCAACTTGCTCTTCTTTACCCAGCTTTCTCCTTCTCATTCTCCAAAATGTCCCTATGTTTAGTAGCTCAGATTGTAAAGTCTGCTAGCAAATATATGACTGCATTATAAAGTATTGAAATTCTACAAAGAATATATATAAAACATGTGACATTCAGTAATTAAAACAAATGGCAAATAAAACAAATAATTGTATCAAAGAAGCATTTTAACTGGCTGATAGATTTTCAGTTAATTTCCCAAAAGCACAAAGAACGTGGAAGAATGACTTAACAGATATGAAAAAAATACAGTATAATTAATGTACATTAAAAGCTGACATTTCTTTTGTCTTTGTTAGGCTCTGTAGCCACCGCCTGCCGTGATCCTGGTGTTCCTATGAATGGAACTCGAAATGGGGATGGAAGAGAACCTGGAGACACTGTTATTTTTCAGTGTGACCCTGGATATGAGCTTCAAGGAGATGAGAGGATAACCTGCATTCAGGTAGAAAATCGGTACTTCTGGCAGCCCAGCCCACCAGTCTGTATAGGTATGCAGAAAACAAGAGAAAATGGAAATGCTTTTCTAATTGTGAAACCATACCACAGTTAGTCAAACAGTACTATAACCCTGCTTTTATGTAAAGATATTTTATTGGTCTACCTTCAAAAACTTATGGAACTAGTTCTAAGGAGTACTGTGCATCTGACAAATCACTTTGTAAAAGATCTGGTGGGAAGTTATCACGTTCTTCTTTCTTCAGTTATCAGCCTGGTGGCTCTCAAACATCCTTTTCTCATACTCTTCTTCACAGTCATATGATGTAGAGTTAGATGGCCTATGACAGAGGAAGCATGAGGAAAGATGGCAAAGTCACCAATACTTTTTACTTGAAACAAAACTTAAAACATTTGGAAAGTTCCAGGGGACTGGGATTAAAGCTAATGTGCCAATTTTTAAAAAGGATAAATGGGATGACCTGGGTAACTATAGGCCAGTTAGCCTGATATTGATCTGGGGCAAAATCATGGAAAGACTGACCTGGGACACACTCAGTAAAGAAGTAAAAGATGGTAGCACAATTAATGCTGATCAGCATCGTTTATGGAAAATATGCCAAACAAACTTGATATCGTTCCTTGATGAGAACAGAAGTTTGATTAAGGACATCATCTGCTTATACTTCTGTAAGGCATTTCACTCAACCACATGCCATTCTGATTTCTTTAAGAGCAATATACAAAATCAGTGTAGCCAATATCAGCAAAAAAGTAATTACACTAGATAATCATCATCCAATAGGGTGTTTCTAGTGGGGTCCTGCTGGGATCTGTTCTTGGCCCAATGCTATTCAATATCCATATCAATGATCTGGAAGTAAATATAAAATTACTACTGCTAAAATTTGCAGAAGACACAAAACGTGATGGAATGGTAAATAATGATGAACACAAGTCAGTTACACAGATCAACCTGGATCTCTTGTTAAAATGTACTCATGTGAACAGTATGCACTTCAGTGCAGCCAAATAGAAGGTCCTACATCTTGGAGCAAAGAATGTAGATCACACTTAAATGATGGGAGATTTTATCCTGAAATGCACTGACACCGAAAAGGAATTATGGCTCATGGTAGATAACCATGAGCTCTCAGTGTGATACTGTAGCTAAAAGGGTAGAGATGTGATCCTTGGATGTATAAGTAGAGGGATGTCAAATACAGAGTTATTACTACGTCTGTATATGAAATTAGTGAGACCGTTACTAGAATTTTGTATCCAGTTCTGGTATTCACACTTCAAAACATTGAAAAATAGGAAGAGGTTCATAAAATTGCTACAAAATTTGATTTGAGGTATGGAAAATGTCTTGTAGTGGCATAGGCAGAGTGCATGGTGATATGATGTGGTATAAAGATATTTATTGGCATTAATTTGAGATTACTTGCATAATGTTTTCAGTTTTACAAATCATGATTATTGAGCCAATTATAAACCAATGATAGTAATCATAACATTATTAATAAAGACCTTTTATACTACTACATACCACCATGTATTCTTTCTCTTTTTCTCCCTCTCTTGGTGTAGATATAAATGTATGTGCTCTGATTTTTTGAACTGGGTAAGTGCAATTGCTTGCCTAATATCTGTGTTCAGTTTCCACACATGTGGGCACAAACACCTAATTTGGACACCCAATCACATTAACCATTTATTCATATTAGGATGAATTACAGTTTTGGAAATCAGGCTTTAAATATTTTAATGTTGACTTCTGTTGACTATGCATTTTTATGAGCGTTTATTACTAAAAGACTGAAGCACAGTATCCAGATCTTATCTTGGTGTCCATAAGCATTTCTAATATTCCTTTTTAGTCAGAAGCACTCCAGATCACTTGGAACTGCATTATTGCTTTCCTTGTAGTTCTTTCTAGATAGGAGGGGTACTATTTAGGCTATGTTATGCCCATGCGCAAACATCAGAATTGTCCTAGGCAGTAATATTTTCCAGGCTTAACTTCATCATAATTTATTGTTTAGTGGGGGCTGACAATTTACCATACATATGACCACTTTGATGGGGAAATGAGAGGCAGGGCTAACTCTTGATTTGCATGCCCCAGTTAAATTTATTTCTTATTCCCCAAAAGTTCTCTCCTTTCTCCTCCTAATATTACTGTTGAAAACTCCTACAGTGTGTTGTTATTATTGAGACTGTTTAGTGACACTACCTTTGGTGTCCATCCTCTTGTTCTACGCTGTGGCAGAATAGTAAGAGAGACCTGCATATCAACAGCACCAGAAAATTACCACGAGCTAATTTTTGACACACTCATTTGGAATCTTTACATATCTGAAAATTAGAAATTCTGCTGGTTTGGATGTTTTGAAGGCTCCTGTAATTCCAACAGGTCTTGAGCATGTAATTGCTGAAGTTAATGTAAAATAGGCATTGGCAAAAATAAGCATTGCATTATGATGTTTCCTTTTCCTTCCCTTGATTTGCTTCTCCCCCAAACAAAAACAACAATAAAAACTACGGAGTGTATATTTGGCAACTGCTTTTCCATGATGATTTAAGTTCCCTAATTAATGGGAGCATTAATACATGAACATTGAAGTACATGGATAGAAAATCATAGTATTTATAAGTTAACACTGCCTTCCAGATATGTTCTACCTGTGGCTTTGTGCTATTCTTGGATAAATTGGGCTGAAATAGCGTGGGAAGTTTCCTGGATTTTGTGGCAGTACGATGTGGCAAACTAGAAATACTGTGACAATTTTTTTTTAAATAGTGTTTTTATTAAATATGAAATAGAAAAATGCAATCAGTACAATAGACCTTGTAGTTCAGTGTGACATATTTTTGTATTAACAGCAGATGACTACATTAGACAGGGATAGGTAGGGCTTTTGGGCGTGGTTTGGGGAGTGCAGGAAGTTTGGGATTATGAAATAAATACGTTTAATAGTACAGTAGAAAGTGAGCCTGAGACATAAGGCCTTGTATCAGAAGCCCAGTGTGAGGCCTAAGGCCTGAACTAAAGTAGTGGTCAAGCTTTGCTGATATAAAGCAAAGAAGCAAAGTTAGCAGAAGTCAGACTCTGCCTGCTTGCAAGCTCACAGAACCTGGCAAGAACAGGGCCAGTATTGCAAAAACATACACGTTCCTAAGAAAGGCTAAGCACAGGACACTCATGCAAACACATTCCAGAAGGATGGTACCAGAACACCCCGATACCAACTATGGTAAAAACACCCCTCCACAAAATATAACAGGACCACGCTGACCTCTCTTAAAGATAAGGTCAGGATGACAGTATAATGGATAGAGATGTTTTGATCAAGCCAACATGTAAAAGGTAATGGAGTGGTAACAACCCACGTCAGGGGGCAGTAACTAACTATGTCAGAGGGGCAAAACGTAACTTGTTTGTATTGGTGTATAAAAAAGAGTCTCAGAGGGAGTGTCTTTGGCCAGCCTAGAAGGGATGGAAAGTCCCACCATTCACTGAGTGTGTCCATTGTCATGGGCATACACGTGCTTGTGTAACTGTAGACATTGATCCGGGGAGCTAGGACTGTGCTTTGTCGACAATAAACCTGGCTGGGTGTCTTCATAGCTTAACTGATCTTGTGGTCATTGGGTGGTTCGCTTGAGGTCTGCTATGCTAGCAACCTGCACAGAGCTGGGAAAGCATACAGAGGAAACACAAGCAGCCAAACATCTGACAACAAGTAGATTGCTGTTTCTGGAGTGATACAATATCTTATAATGCTGACAGGTCAAATGTCAACTTTAGGTTTCAGACTTCACAACCTATTCAAATGAATGAGGCATAGCTCACCTCTCAAATATTTCAGGCCTTCTGCAGATTCAAGAAGGCAGCACTGCATAATTTTACATGTAGTTCACATTTTCAAGGGTTTATTTTCAAAAAAATTAAGCTAGAATTCTTTTTTTAAGTGGAAGGTTTGATTAGGAAGCACAGTTCTCCAGGATGGGCTGTGCAAAGGGTGGATTCCATTGCAAACTTTCACAAAATTGTGGATAGATGAAACCCTGCCTATATCATAATAATATAATGAATACAATATCTACAAAAAAAGTAAAACACCAAATGAAAATACCCTGTAACAGATCCTTTACAGCTTTTATTTTTAATCGTGTTAATGATCTGTGGCCTAGAGAACAATTTACAGGGAGGGGTTAACTAGTTTTATTTAAATGTATTTAAAAGTAAGTGAAACTTCAGTCTTTTTAGAGTTGTAATTATAAAATGGTTCGTGCTGCTGGAATTGTACAGTCCATTTTTAAAACAAAGAAAATTAACCAAGGGAAAACCAAACTGATCTTAAAAATCAGATCTTCATGAAACTAGATAGTTTTGTCTTTTATAGCAGAATTGGCATTAATAAGAACAGAAAATGTTGCTATGTTCTTTATCAATATTTGATTAATTCGTTCAAATTGTTCGAGGATGGCCAAACTTCAAACAGCTCTATTTTTTGTGAAGATCTGTCAGCAATGATTATCCCAGATTAAAAACAAAAACAAAAACATCAAGCAAAAATTCCCCTATTGAAGCTGCATTTGATTGTTCTTGTCAGCATGTAATACATTAAAAAATCAAATAAAAGGAAAGCCTGAAGGTGCTGAGATAGCACATTCTGTACTACCACACAGATTTAATGGGTTCTAGGCTGACCCTTTGGAGCTGGTGGACATTAAAAACATATTAGACAGTCCTCTGAATTACTTGGTAGGGTATTAGTTGCACTGTTCACATCTTTCCTCCACCACCAGATCTATATAGTGGTATTAACAATGGATACCGAGACTTTACTGGCATAGCCTACTAGTAGTTCCCATTAAGGCATTGTAGAAAAGTGAATACAGCCTTAAGATCGATGTATACTACATGCAGGGGCTTCCTGAACTCACAGTGTATCTCGGACAACAAGCGGAGGGCCAAAATGGCATCTAATGTGGACCTGCTCCTCAGAAAGCCTGACTGTTGGGAGCGACACTTCCAATGTAG